GCAGCTCCCCACACCTCCTATAACCCACACTACCTGAGCAGCACGCTCACTGCAGCTCCCCACACCTCCTATAACCCACACTACCTGAGCAGCACCCTCACTGCAGTTCCCCACACCTCCTATAACCCACACTACCTGAGCAGCACACTCACTGCAGCTCCCCACACCTCCTATAACCCACACTACCTGAGCAACATGTTAACTGCAGCTCCTCACACCTATTATATGACACACACTACCTGAGTAGCACGCTCACTGCAGCTCCAGACACCTCCTATAACCCACACTACCCAGGCAGTGCTCACTGCAGCCCAGACACCTCTCCTATAACCCACACTACCTAAAAGCAGCACACTCACTGCAGCTCCCTACACCTCCTATAACACACACTACCTGAGCAGCACGCTCACTGCAGCTCCCCACACCTCCTATAACTCACACTACCTGAGCAGCAGGCTCGCTGCAGCTCCCTACACCTCCTATAACACACACTACCTGAGCAGCATGCTCACTGCAGCTCCCCACACCTCCTATAACACACACTACCTGAGCAGCACACTCACTGCAGCTCCCACACCTACTATAACACCCACTACCTGAGCAGCACGCGCACTGCAGCTCCCCACACCTCCTATAACCTACACTACCTGAGCAACACACTCACTGCAGCTCCCCACACCTCCTATAACCCACACTACCTGAGCAGCACACTCACTGCAGCTCTCCACACCTCCTATAACCCACACTACCTGAGCAGCACACTCACTGCAGCTCCCCACACCTCCTATAACCTACACTACCTGAGCAGCACACTCACTGCAGCTCTCCACACCTCCTATAACCCACACTACCTGAGCAGCACACTCACTGCAGCTCCCCACACCTCCTATAACCCACACTACCTGAGCAGCACGCTCACTGTAGCTCCTCACACCTCCTATAGCCCACACTACCTGAGCAGCACGCTCACTGTAGCTCCTCACACCTCCTATAACCCACACTACCTGAGCAGCACACGCTCACTGCAGCTCCCCACACCTCCTATAACACACACTACCTGAGCAGCACACTCACTGCAGCTCCCCACACCTCCTATAACCCACACTACCTGAGCAGCACACTCACTGCAGCTCCCCACACCTCCTATAACCCACACTACCTGAGCAGCACACTCACTGCAGCTCCCCACACCTACTATAACCCACACTGTAGTGGAGTAGTAGTATTATCCACGGTATCTCCACTGGCAGACAGAATAAAGCAGGTACAAAGTAGGCAAATCCATGTAGCGTAGTTACAATCCCTTTCTCCCAAGAACTAGACGACACATAGCTTGGAGGTCAACTGAGGTTTTAATCACAGGTCACAGTATTTATGCGGTTACAAATGTAAGGGGTTTCCCAAGTCACATTACAGGGTTTGTCCAGTAGGGGACTACATGGGGGACTGAGCTTACAGGCAGATTACCCATCATACACTGCTGTACCAAAGAGATAATTACCC